CGCTGGCGTGGGTCCCGAAACAGTTGGGTTGGGGGGTCGTTGGGGGGGGGGGTCGGGAGGAAGAGAATATATGCACGTGCTTGTTTTCCCGATATCGGCGGTGGTTTAAGTGAGATCGTACGGCAAACAAGGCTCAGCAGAAGGTTCGGCAAACCTTGCGGGCTCCTAGCAAACAACGCCAAGTGGCGGGGAGGTGTGTGTGTGTGGGGGGGAGAGGCTCCCTACGATGACAGCAGCAGCGAGGTTCTCAAGCAGCTCGTTAGGACGACGCTGGTTCGGGCTTCACGTGTTCCCCTCCCTCCGGTTAGCCAATGATTTCTATTGCATTAAGGAAGATCCATCCACTCAGGCCCGGAAGGGATCTCTTCGGGGGCTTCGCTCTGGTTTGTCTGCCAGACTGCCTACAGGTTTTGATCCCATACCTTCTTTCCCCCCGACCCTGCTGTAGAGTTGAAACGATCTTTCAACGCGGGCCCTTCAGCATAGCAAAGGTTTTTTTTTAAAGATCTGCAACGTCTGAAGACATTAGATGGCAGGAGAAATTGGGGCGTCCCCGAACCTTCATTCCTTTGCCTCGACTGCTCCCATGCAGGCGACCAGCTCCTGCCCCCCCCCCACCGGTGTCTCCTGACCCAGGTTCGTCTGAATGGCAAGAGAAGTTTGACAAACTAGGACAGGCATCCGGAATGGGGAACTCTAGAAGGGAGCCAGAGATCTCTTGATCGAAGAGATTTTAGAAATCCTCAGAGAAAAAAAAGGGGGGGAATACTGACAACAACAAACGCCATGATGACGACAGAAAAAAGGTTGCGTGCTTTCTGACGGGTTAACGTGCGGTGTATTGTGCGCCTGTAAATGCAAATCCTGTTTTCTAGTCTTTGTTAGGAGCAGGAAGTCGCCCTGCAGGTTACCCGCCTCGGACGGCTATCTTTAGCAGCCTCACAACTCAGGCAAAGGTCTTGGGTTTCAGCCCACACCAGCCCACTGAAGTCATAGGAGGGCACTGGCTGGAGGGGCTGTTTCTCAGAGTTTTTCGTAGTTCTCGGTTGGGGGTGGTGGGGTAATGCGGATGCGGGCGATGTCCTGCCAACTATAGGACAGTAGCTGACTTCTTCACCCTCCGAACACCGTTCATTCTCGGCTTCAGCGGCCCTTTTCCAACCGTTCCCCAGTGGCTCAGGAGCGGCTCATCCTACCCCGACTAGTCCTTCGCCTTCAGCATTGTGAATGGGGCCCTGAGGCGAGACCCACCTCTCCTTTACAAGGTTTCACCAGGGCTGGTGAATGCCCAGTCTTTCTCCCTCCCCCCTTTCTCTTCTTTTATGGCAAATATTCAGACACTATGTAGAAATTCTATATTATTTCCCCCCTCTCAAATAAACCCAACACACACACTCCTTTCTTGACCACTCGCTTTCCGTTTGGCGTCCTAGAAACTTTCCCCCCTTGCCTCCTAAACGTAAAGAGACGCTAAAGCCAGGTTCGCACATAAAAATATTTCCATGATTATTGGATCTTAACTTAAAAGACCACTTTCTCTTCTTTAAATAGCGTGTTGAAGAAATGAGGGGGGAAAATGGCGTGGGTTCCCCCACCCCCTTTCCCCTTTTTTAAAGTGCATCTCCTAACAGTTTGATTATAGCCCTACAATCTGGCCAGCATATAATATATTATTTCGCCGAGAAGGCGAAGAAGATTGGTGACTTTTGAAAAGCGGAATGAAACGCAGAGGCGCGCGCGCGCTTTCACATTCTCTCCCCCCCCTCCTTGATCACGTGACCGGTCAGCCGCCGACAGATTTATTTCGTTCAAAAGGTGGGCGAGAAAAACATCCGGCTCCACCATTGTTGATCCTCTTTCCTTTCCGACTTTGTTTACAATCCCTGCCTGCTCTCTAAATACTACTTCCAGCCCGCATCCTTTATTTGCACTTACTAAGCTATTGTTTACCCTCCCTTCCACTTTCCCAGGTGAATTTTTTTTCCAAAAGAAAGCGGTTTAGAGATCTTTTCCTTGAGAAGAAAACATTTAAAAAAAAAACAAGCCTGGGCAACAGGTTGATCCACGCACTTACAAATGCGGGAAAGCCACCTCACATGCCTCTTAGGGGTTTTGCACACTCCCCCTCTGCGCCCCGTTGGTCAGCGTATTCGAATAAGCGTCTCTCTCGTTTTCTTAGGGAATAAATTATAAGTTTTAAAAAAAACACTGCAAAATAAAATCCACCCAGCTCGCCACAAATACACCCAACATATCGGAGAGCTTGGAAAGATTTTGTTTACAAAATGCTATTTTATTGTAAGGGGTTATTTCCGTCTTTCCTTCGCTCGCTTGCCCTCTAAACCAACCAACACCCCCCCTCCGCATTAACCCCTTTGGTTAGCTGGAGGGAATGTGAAACTGAGATTTGGCCCCGAGTTTAATCTCCCCCGTCTCTCCTCAGCTCCCCGCGCTCTCTCTCTCCCTCTCTCTGCCTATAGATCTGGCACGGTCTTGCTCTCTTAACTCTCAGATCATTGTTCCGGTGGCGGCGGCCAGAAAGAGCAAGGCAGCGCTGTGCTCTCACTTCCTCCTAGCTTCTTTAAAAAAAAAAAAGGGGGGGGGAGAGAACATGCCTCGTCCAACTTTTCCTTCAGTTATTCTCTCCTCAATCCCACTGGCAGGCTATTGCCGAAAACCTACTACACTCCAGTTTTGGTAAGTGGGACGTCGGTCCGTTGCAAAGATGGTGCCGCCGAGCTGGCTGCGTGCGTGTACCTCGTAGAAGTGTGGGTGGTTTGTGTGCGTGCGTGCGCGCGTGTTTTGATACCAAACAGAGTCTGCCCAACACCCGTGTCCTTTCGCGTCAAGCAGCCCCGAGTTAAACTTATGGTGGCGTCTGAAATCTCAATAGAAACCAGCACGGTCGCTGTTCGCTGGCTGAGACGGACTTCGGGGACGCGCAACCCCGGAGCCGGTTGGCAACTCGGGCGCAGCTCGTTGTTGCGATCGCGGCGGCTGTTAACGTCCGAATCGAGGAGAGCCGAGCGTTTGTTTTGCCTTACCTTCATATTTGCTGTTTGCAACGGCTCGTCGTTATATAAAACAGGCAGCTGCCAGCCACGGGAGGCTCTGAGATATCATTGGGTTAGCATTGCGGGGTGATTTGAAATCTCATGTCAAATGTTCCCTCGAAGACAACCCATAGATTTAATAATTGTTATGGCGGAAAAACAAACCCTTACAACTTTTTTTTAAAAAAACAAGCATTTACAGCACAGTCTTCACCTAGCGTTTCGCAGCCCGAGGCGCCGTTTTGCATTATTGTCATAAATGGTTTCCGAGCGCAGAGCTGATATTAAACTCTAAGACTGATTGAAATTTATAGGCATTTAAGGGTAAGCCTGATTTGAATTTCACCTTGTCTACCACCCCACCCCACCCCCGCCGCCCCTTCTAGGAAGTATGGGGAAGTGAACCCAACCGCTGCGTAGAATTGACCTTTGGCTGACACCCCTGGGTGGAAGGCGCTTTGCAAATGAGGGGTGGAGGAATTAAAATTAAGCTGAATTTTGGTGGCGTTCGACGAAGTCCCACGACATTCGCCCGAGGCTCAGCTCTCCAGGTCTGGAAGTTCCAGCAAAGTTCAAGGGAATCGGAACAGCTTCCTCGGGATCTCCCTGATAGTCACAAGGGGGAGAAAGATGATTCCTCCGGGCTACAGGGCGCGAACAGCAGCCGTGGCGCCTTCAAGTTCAGCGGCACTTCCCGTTCTTCTAAAGCTTTAGCTTTATTCTCACTTTTGGGGTGAGGGGGTGGGGGTGGGGAGAGTGAAGTTACGTTCACAGTTGCTTGTGGCGCGGTGGTTTTCGAAGCACGAAAACAAGCGCGTGGAAGCGGGTGCTAACAAGCGGTGCGACTTTCTTGGGGGGGGGGGAAGAAAGTGACAACCTTACGCATTCCTCGAAAACTTTTTTCGAGCGTGGATCTGAATCTGCAGCGCCCAGGGTGATAACCAAAGAGCTTGGCTAAGAAAGGGAACGCTGAGATGAGAGGAAAAGGTGACATTTCGCTTTCAAAGCAAATGCCCAAACCAACTCCGGCTCCTTTCTCCTTCTGATTGGCTTGGGGGGGGGGGGAGGGAGAAGGAGTTTCTAAAACTTTACCGGCGGCGTTTGCGAGACGGTCCTTATAAGTTTAACCAAAGTCCTGGTACGCATGCCTGTTACGCGGGAGGGGTATTATGTAAAATATGAAGCTGTTGAAAGCGATGCGGTGATACCAGACTTCCCACGGTCTAAAGGGTGAAGGCTGGACATAAGGCTAGAATATGGCAGTGGGGGCTGCGGAGGACGCCTCCCCCCATGTCTTCACGCACACCTGCCCCCTACCCTTGTTCAACCCTAGGAAGTTATTTAATGAAATCGGGCCAGCACTGACAAGTTCTACAATAGGTCGGTCCATGCACTGTTGCTTTCAATAGGAGCCCCCACTCTCTCCCCCACCAGCATTTTGACTAAGTGGTATTCACTTCATCGTTTCTCCGGTTCCCATAGTGAAGTTTCTCTCTGGAGCCAGAAACACGAATTTCCATCATTTGTGGAATGTCTATTCCACGAATGATGGAAATTCTATTCCATCTATGGAATTTCTATGCTTTCCTCACATTGATTGGGCAGTGCTTTTCCTCCCAGGCTCACGTCGGTGAGACTCAGGCCTTTAAGCAATGTTGCAGAAGGCGCAGGTCTCCTGGAATTGGGAATAAAGGCTCTTCGGTAGGTAAGGAAGGCGGAGGCGGGCGGACTATCTACGAGGACCAGGCAATTTGTGGGATGCCAAAAGTCTCTCCCCCCTTGACTAAACTCAGACTTCTTAAATTAATACAACTTCCTATTTGGAAAGAAATATCAGCCGTCTAATACATATTATCCAACCATTCTTTCCCGAGAATACAGGGATGGTGTCGATCCGTTTTACCCAAGTCCTTCACGAGCTGCTTATACCCCAAGAACTTTGGGTATGGAGGGTCTCGTGACCCTAAGAGGATTCACAGAAAGGTGAAGGGTGACCCTACACACCTAGCGCCCTTTCCCGAGAATCTCCTCTAAAGCAGTTTTGGATTTTTTTCTGTGCTCTGTGAAATGAGAGAAGTGCCTCCCGTGGAAGTTTTGGAAAGTCTGTTTTTTATTGATCACTTCCGTTCCTTCGTTACGTTGTTTTAGACGGGCATTCCAAAGGAAACGCGAATGAAAAGGCAGGTCCAAGAAATATATATTTAAAGAGACAAGTGAGAAGTGCAATCTTGACAACAGCGGGTTTGCTTTCCGCAGACCTTGGCTTTCCTTTGCTCCATGGAGATTTGGTCCCGGTGGGCTGCATTCTGATGACTCACCTTGGCATTTAATTCCCAACACGGGTCAGATCAACTTGCTTCCAAGAAAAAGCCTAATTTAGCCTGGAGGTGTTGGGGAAAAAGCGTGTCAAGGCTGGCTAGTCCTATCAGGAAATAGTGCTTAAGCTATTAGCTCGATGCCCCCAATCTTGTTTTCAATGAGACCCCGTAGGTAGTTTTAAATAGGCTTGGAATCGATAGGATGTCAGTCTGAATCGAAACTGTGCGTGGTCCTCTGCAAGAGTTCGAATCCCATTGCCATCAATGAGACTGAATTCTTTTTTTGGGGGGGGGGCAATTAGAAACTCCGCGGGCGTGGATTTCGGATGGAGATATAGATCTTCTAGAAACATTTGTATTGTTTTGAGAACAAATCCCAAATATCTGGCTAGGCTGTCGGTGCTATCAGTCCTTCTCACATCCCTTTTCTTGTCTGAAATTTGCCAAATACAAAGACTTGATTCAAAAGATCATACAGTTTGATCAGAGCTAAATTTAGCAGACAAAACACCTCCCACCTTAATAAACCAGTCTGTTACTTTTACAAGAAAAAGGTAAACATACCAACGTTTCAGAATGGAAGAAATCGTGGCAAGTTTCAAAAGTGTTAACAGGGCAACTTCTGTTGCAAAAAGTGGGTTTCAACTGATAATATCCGGCAAAGAGGCATAGGCTGTAAATAAATTAAACTGTTTAAATAAGTTAAACTGTTTCCAACCAGGTTTTAATTGCCAAATTTCACATAAAAGCAGATTATAAATCCTTCCTGTCCTATCTGCATTCTGCAGTCTGTCATTTTTTAGGCTGCTTTGTTATCTCTAGAACATTTAGTTAATTAATCATGCCTACATTTTTCTTTTCTTGTCTGGAACACACAGTTTATGGAAAGCAAAATCGTTCAGCATAAAATGCTCTTTAAAAAGGCTGTTTACGTCTCTCTCTCTCTCTTCCCCCCTCCCACTCCTTATCACTGTTTTAGCATGTTTGGTGTAAGGCAGAAGCTGGTATCCTAAGGCAGAACTATCACCCTATTGGTATGCTATGTCCAGATTTAGAGCAAAAAGGATCATTAAATGGGTGGGAACTGGAAAAATGAGTGTGTGTCTCTGTGGATATGAGCAATGTCTTCTAACTTCATATTCATTGACAAATTTAATGTCGATTGTATTAGCTTCTGAAAGAAGTCCATATCGATTACAACAGAATTTCTTTTGCCTATTAAAATTAGGATCGGGCAAAAAAAAGGGGGGGCTTGCGTATTTATTGGAAGATCAACTTCCTTTCTTTCTGCTTCTCTTTCTCTTTCTCCTTTTATTGGAGACAACCATTATAATGAACACTGGTCATCCTATAATTCAGAACTAATCCTATTAGTTAATTCTATTGTTTATATCTGGAAACTGGAAGAAAGTATTGTGCGAAGTTATGGATCTGATGCAACACTGATGTCACTGTCCCCACGAAATGTTAGAACAGTCAGCTTAGCCTGTCTGAACCAGCATTCTCCCTATTTAATCAGTTTTCCTGGCTTTTCTTTGCTCTTGTACTTATCATTGAATGTTCCTGACTCCAACGCATAAAAGGCCGAGTGGTAGATATATTTGAAGGTGTGTTTCCATAGACTTAGGGAAATCCCTTGTATATCCTTTGAATCAACTGGTTCATGGAAAAGGGATAGCTAAGAGGAGCAGCAGACGTCCTTTTCCCTCCTCTCACACACAAAGTATTAACATATTATTTGTAATGGGGTTCCATGCATAGGATACCTCCATCCATCTTTCTTATCCTCAGTTGGGAGATTCCTGTTGCTTTATGGGCTCCAGATCAAATAATAAATCACAGATGCTGGTAAAATGAATTCAGGAATACAGAAATGCTTTTGATGGTTCTATATTTTCTTTGAATTGAGCATTTAAACTGCAATTCGGCAGTCATTGGTAATGTACCAACAAACCTAACGTGTGTGTGTGTGTGTGTGTGTGTGTGTGTGTGTGTGTGTGTAATATAATGGGGAGAGAGAGAGAGAGAGAGAGAGGGAGAGGGAGGGAGAGAGGGAGAGAGAGAATTGTCCTGGAATAAATTTATGTACTTTATAATGATGATGTTGATGATGATTTTCAGTTCCAAACATTTCAATTAAGAAATATAATTGTCTCCTCTGCATGGGAAATGGAAAGTGACTGTAATGAGTATTAAATATATCTCCATTAGCAAATGTACTTAATTCTAACTTGGAAGAACTATTGAATTGTTGTTTACTCAGAAGTAAGTCCTACTCATACTCTTTAGTCAGCATCTTTATGATTCTAACAGACCAAAGTAACCC